TACAGACGTGTCACGCGTCAACGTATACCCATTTTAATTGAGCACACTGTTTTTTTACTTTAAAAATTACGTTACACGGCATAAAAAATTGGTGCAACATTCGAATGTCCACCATGCTGTAAAATTATATGAAAATTTTAAATTAATAAATTAATTTCAAAAAATTATTTTTTTATAAAATCTATTATTTTTTAGATTTTAGAACAAAATCCAAACTTATTTATTAGTAAATCAGGAAAATCTGTCAAAAATATTTTAAAATCACATGGATTCTTTAATGATGTTTTTGATCTTGCTCAAGTCCTTAAACCAATTAAGGAAGCTATTATATCTCTTGAAGCTAAAACAACAAATTTAGCAGATTGTTATCTAGGATATGTTAAATTAGCTGCTGCAATTAAATCAATTCCTCAAGACCAGCATTTAATGTTTCATCGTGCATGTGTTACAATATTCAATAATCGATTTAAAGTTTTTGATTATGATGAATATCTCTTAGCATATTATTTGCATCCACAGTACCGAGGTTTGTTTTAAATATATAATTTTTATATTTTATTTTTTTAATTCTTTTTAAAATTTTATTATTATTTTAGGTGCTGGAATTAAATCATCTCAATTTGCTTGAATAGCTAGTATTGCAGGTCGTTTATGGATAAAAATGGGAAGTAAAAATAGAACCAAACTTGATTTACTTAAAGCACAATTGCGTCAATATGCTTGTAATGAAACACCATACAATGAAACTTATGTTACAAATATTGATACTCCTTTACGTTGGTGGAAAACTTGTGGGGATGGAACTAAACATAATCCAGGTGTTCTTTCAACTTTAGCAATTAAATTATTTTCTGTCCGTCCACATTCTGCTAGCTGCGAACATATTTGGTCATGTTGTGGGTGGTTTCAGGGAGAACGTCGAACTCAATTAACATCATCACATTTAGAATCCATGGTAAAAATAAATAGCTTTTTGATTTCAAATGCAAAACAAGAATTGCAATATTATGGTGTAGATTTGACAGAAGAAGAATTGTTGGGTGTTTTTCAAGAAGCTGCTTTGGTAGCTGAAACTAATGATGATTTAGAAGAATTTGTTGACCTACCTGATGATTCTAATATTGAATATGAAGATCAACAATTATTGTTAGATGATTTAATGGATTTAACTAATCCTGAATTTGGCAATGAAGATAAGGATTCAAATAGTGAGGAAAATGATGATAATGATGATAATGACACAGATAGCAATAATGAAGATAATGAATTTGATGAAGATGAATTTGGAGCAGCATTTGTACAAAGTTTACAGAATGAATAGAAACATATAAAATTTGTGTTTAATTTTTTTAATTTTATACCATAAAAAATTTTTTTTAATAAATAAAAATAGGGAATTGTTAATCGCGCCCCCCATTTTTGTTATTCGCACCCCCACGTGACTAAGAACAAAGATAAGCCAATAAAAACGTCACACATTTTAATTCAAAAAAACCATTTTTATTTATTATTATTATTACATTACTAAAAAAAAAATTATTTTTACAAATTTATTTACACAGTAGGACATGTTCGGCTATTATGACCAGTTTGACAACATATACCACATTGCCTTGGCCTTCTTTCAACAAGCTCAAATGCAGATGGATCTCTCTGCATTGATCCTTCGCTTTGGTTTCTTGCTCCAACTGGTCTTCCTCGTGGCCTACTAACTTCAGGGTTTCCAAGTACATCAGGAGGAGCAGAAGACAATTCTTCCAACTGGGTACGAGCAGCAGCTTGTTGGTGTGGTGGCCAGAATTGGTATTGTTGTGCAAAAGATTGTAAAAGAAGCTGAAGATTAGCGTGGTCACCATTGGCAGGACGTGTAAGATCACCTAAGAATTCAAAATGGCGACCTTTGATCCACCAGTGTTCATGGATATCAGTTTGCTGCAATGTTTGGCCATTTGCTATACGTTCACTGATGAGATGTGAACATGGAAGACCCATCGTGGAGCTAAGGATCCCTGAGCAAGGATTCAAGGGAGAATCTAGTGTTGCATTTGATGCCTTGATCCACTCGTCATGGATCTTTTTCAAGGCAAAAACAGATACACGACTCAAGAGAGGTTCAACAGAGCTATACGGTACACATGTTGTACTTTTAGACGTTCAGAAGAGATCATTGCACGGATTTCCTTTGCTTGAGACTCTACTTGCAATATGATCTTACGATGTACTGACTCAAGATCACCTCTGGATGACTGCAAATACTTTTTAAGAGTAGCATGTGCACCTTCTACTCGTGAAGTTGCTTTGTTACCAAGATGCAAGTAACGATCAACCCAGGCAGAAATGAAGCATTCTTAATGTAGGATCCAGGTTTCTTGAAGATACTGCAGGACGTTGGGCTTACTCGCATAGCATTCTAAAAATTCCTTCCATTTGGTTGTGAAGTCTTGTTCAGTGATAGATGCTGTAACTGCCTTCCACAATTCAATGAACTCGGTCCAATCTTCTTTTGTAGCAAAGTGATGTTTACATTTAGCTAAAATGTTCTTGTTTATGTGCCAAATACATAGAAGATGATGAGCACCAGGAAAGATTCTACCAATGGCATTCATCAGTGCTAATTCTCGATCAGTGACAATGACTTTAGGATGAGACATTCCATTAAAGATCTTTGAAATGCAAGTCAAGGCCCATTCATAATCTGCTTCTTTTTCATCTTTAGGAAGGCAAAGCAGGAAAAGAATATTGTGTTAAAGCTTGTCATTCCAACAACATTTAGAAGAGGCATACGATATCTGTTTGTTTTGTATGTACAATCCAAAAGTAATACAACAGGATAGGTACGAGTCAAGGCAATGGATATCCTGTGTGCAAAAAAAAGGTGTGTGATGTGATTTTGATGGTCACGTTGATAATCAAATTCGAAGTCAGATTCTTGTAATTTGTCAAAAAGAGCTTGAATTGGTGTACGACCATCAAGTCTTTCTTCACGAATGGAATGCAAAGTATTGTAGATTGTTCTAGATGTGGCCATAGAAGAAAGATCACTCTGATGAATGGTTGACAAAATTTCACGAGGATGGGATCCAGCGGCAGACATTTGCTGAACTAGCTCTCGTTGCTCAGTGTTCAACCTGCGAGTGATTGGATGACCAGACATATCCTCTGATGCTTCGTGATTATGCTCAGAATTGCGAACCTCAAGAAACCAAACACCATTGCGTCTGGTCCCATGGAGCTCAAATGGACAATCCAAAAATCTTGATGCTGTCTGCCTATGACGTAAATCATCTGTCAGGTTCAAACTATTTCTATAAGAGCCACCTCTGTCACAACGCAATGTCACATTCTTGACTTTGCCATTTACATCAGTTTGAGTTCTTTTTATGGTTACAGCATATCCTTGAGTTAAAACAAAGGCTCGAACATGAGCAAGGAGTTCATCATAACTTGAAAATTGGTCAATTGGAGGTGGAAGCATATTACGAATTTTTATTGAAACAAAATGCAAAGTACAAAAATGCAAAGTACAAAAATACAAAGTTGATTTCTTCGAGTTTTTAAATGAATCAAACAGTCAAGCCATTTGCTGTGCAATTTATTTGGTCAAGCCGTTTACTAATTGATTTATTTGGTCAAGCCGTTTGCTAAACAATTTATTTGGTCAAGCCGTTTATTAAGTGATTTATTTGATCAAGCCATTTGCTAAACAATTTATTTGGTCAAGCCGTTTACTAATCGATTTATTTGATCAAGCCGTTTGTTAAACAATTTATTTGGTCAAGCCGTTTGCTAAACAATTTATTTGGTCAAGCCGTTTACTAATCGATTTATTTGATCAAGCCGTTTGCTAAACGATTTATTTGGTCAAGCCATTTGCTAAACAATTTATTTGGTCAAGCCATTCATTGGTCACATTACTACACTTAGTCACGTGGGGGTGCGAATAACAAAAATGGGGGGTGCGATTAACAATTCCCTAAAAATATAATAAAATAAAATTAAAAATAAATAATAGATAAAATAATGATTTTAAAAGCTTATAACTCCCCATTAAAAAAATAAAAATAAAAAGTAAACCGATAAAATTAAAGCTAAAGACCTAAGCTTCATTTCCATCGGTTTACTTTTTTCATTTTATTAGAAAAGTTTTGGTTTATAAGGCTTCAAAAACATACAAATTTTATAATAAAATGAAAATTTCGGACATGATTTTCCTCAAAAATTTCTTTATTTGTTACTAGTGTACTCCAAAAGTCATGTGTTTTTGTTACACCAGTAATTTTTATTTTGAGGTGTATATAACAGGAGAGACCGTCCTATATAAGGAATAGATTTTCACAATTGATTTCAATTTTTTTTATACACTTTAGAATACTTTTACAAGGGTATTACGTAGCCCATTCTTACAATAAATCATGTGCAAATAATTACACAAATTTGAAGCTTT